CTCTTTGTCCTTCTCATTTAGTACCTGCTGTCTCCATACCCTAAGGAGTTCCTACTGACACAAGTATAATACACACATTTTGGCTAAATTCTACCCTTGATAGTTTATGAACACTACTGTCTACTTCACACATTATGTTATTTCAAGACAAAGCCCAGTATATTTCACTTAAACTATATTTTCAGCAGTTTAAAGGAACAACGTGTCCATTTTACAAACATGAGGGATCCCTTTTAAATTTGCTTTATTGGGCAGCCAGATAATATACATAGACTTTGCTTGAAATCAAACATGCAGAAAAAGGAAATTTGGGAAGACTTCTGTTTTGATACTAAAATGCCTTGTTTGCTAGAAACAGAAGCCGTGTAGGAGAAAGCTGGAGGTATTGTCTTGGCGAGGTCCAAGATCTGCAGTTTTATATTGGGCACTGTTCTTTCTGACTGCTGTTTGGCTGCCAGGCCATATAGGGAAATATATATCTATATTTTCCCAGGCACTGTAAGACTTCAGTGCCTCTCTCCCCTCAAATTGTAATTGGCCCTGGACAAAATATAAAGTAAAATAAAATAAAATAGAGTGACTGCACTTCTGACAGCCATGTCAAGAGGCTCAATATACCAACAAAAACAGCCCTGGAAGCATCATCAAGCTCCCTGGGGGAGAAAAAAGGCAATACTCATAATTTCAAAATATCAGCAAGACATTTCCTTCAAATGTGCTATATTTCCTGACGATGACATGTGTTCTGCCCTGGGAGACAAGCTGTCAATGTAATGTAAACTGTCTAGGAAGTACGTACATGTACTGAAGTCTGAAAACAAAAGGGCATCCGGTGTTACTACCAGATGCCTTTTGACAAAATGTGAAAACTCTGACTTGTTCTCACTGTGTAATTTGCTTTAGATTTAACAATCTTCATTCAGTAACATACAACTGCTTCACAATTCATAGTATCTTGGACAGATGCCAGTTTTCCCTCTAGGGGTAAGTGTTATAGGTTTGTCACTGTCTGTGATTCGATGCTGTGACTTTTTTTTAACATCCCATCATGGTTTCTGGGCAATACAGGTTTGTACATCTGCTTGGTTTTATGAGATCTGAAAGCATCTTGCTACATGAAAATATTTTTCTGGCTCAAAATGATCAATGGGTATAACCTTGATTAACTCAAATTCCATCAGTGCTGTAGTTTGCCTACTTAGAGTATACCCCACAAAACTCAATAATCAAGCCCCAGACAATGACTTAAGAAAGAGTTGGCAAGCCACCTGCTGCTGGATGTGGATTTCTGTCTAATGATTGATAATATTCTATTCTAAGTTGTAGTATCTGTTTGGAGGAAATAATAGATTCTGGAAGTCAGTGGTAGTGAAAATAACATGGGCATAATAACTTTCCCAATAACTCTGGAAAGCAATCAAATTATATGTGGGGTTGTAATTTTCTTCTGTTCTCAGAGCAAAATGTTAGCCAAGGTTAGAGTCCCCACTTAGTTAAAATTTAGCTTTCACTTTTTTCCCAGGAGCTTCTATAGGGACAGCCTATTAATTTAGTGGGGAATAGGAAGAAGGAACACAGTTGTCTCATTGCAATTTGTGGTTGCAAATCTATGCACAACCAGCTGGGCGGACTACGTTCAGTGAATTCACAAGTCTTAAATTTGAGTACATATTATAAATATTGCCATACTGCCATGCTCCATGTTTTTATTTTCTTCTAGGCTTTTAATTATATTTATTGTATTATAATTTTATCCTCATAACACTTTATGATTTTTGATTTTCACCCCTATGTATTAATGTTGCTATCTGCTATTTTGTTACTCTGTTGTTTTTTGTTATTTGTTGTAAACCGCCCAGACGGCCTTGGCTGCCAGATGGGTGGCATATAAATACAATACAATACAATAAATAAATATGATTGTTCTCCATCTGATACTTCCTCATCAAATACTTTAAGGTTGCATGTATGTTTACTGGGCATAAATCTCCTAACCTCACTGGCTGAAAATCCAGTCAGTGCAACTGTGCCATGTAAATGTTATCACCAGATTCCATTAATCTTTATTTTAATTTAATTAAAAATGGGAGAATCACCACTGAATCAGGACCACCACTGGTGATCTGGTAATAATTTTTTTAAATTAGAAAATTCCTCACCTTGTCCTGAGTTCCCAAAGGCTTCCCCAGGACAAAAAGGATCTCTAAGGAGCGTTGGAACTCGAAAGTCGGATAGGAAGTTTTAAATTAAGATCAATGGTGCTAGTGATGATCCATTCACCATTTACACAGCATAGTTGTGCTAACTGGGTTTCACCAACTGAGTCTTACTTCTGAACAAAGAAGTACATGATCAGATTATGTTAAGTCTTCTACCATTTCCTTCCTAAAAAACAAGAAAGAAAAACCACTAAGAATATTTTTCTAGCTGCTGCTTGAAACTGAAATGAATAGGTACAAATACTATTACCAGTACTAAGCAACATTTTTGAACTGTCTCTGTTCATTGGCAGAGATATTACACTTTAAACTACCTTAGGAGTTTTATGCCAGCAAGGATTATCTAATATACTATTTACTTTAATTATAGGTGTGAACTTACTTCTCTACAAGCACTGGTAAGACAGGAGCCAATGTCAGATTGCTTCTTCCATTCGATGACTCAGACTGTAAATAAAAACAGCCACTCAGTTTCATTGAAATTACAACATTAATTGTGTCTCCTGTATGTATTTAATATACATCGAAACATTCAGTTTCAGATACAAACTCACTCTTTTCATGAGAATATATGATACCCAGTGGGCAACATTTTTACAATTTGTTGAATCATCTCTATATATTTCCTTTATTAAGAAATTTATCACCTCTGTCTACATTTCTATATAATTTGTCTGATGTGAATATAAAATTTGTTTTTATCCACATCACTCAAAACCTCTCCCAACAATTAACCCAAGATTTATAAAAATTGTGAAGTAAAATCTTCAAAAAGCCTATTTCTGTAGAATTTATATTTACTGGTGAAGACATCAGAGATATAGTTGTAGGTGATGTGCCCGGTGATTGGCCTGGGAGCTCAAATTTTGAAACAACAGCAACACTGACTCTTCTCCGAGGCATCTGTAATAGAAATAAGTTTCATTACACACTTAGTATACCTTCACGGTATGTATAAACATGTAATGCTAGTAGAAAGCAGAATAAATGTGTACATTCTTATAACACTGACTGGATTCTAAATCTGCTACAAGTGATACATGAAGAAGCAGTGATGTAGATTTCCAGCAAAAGTTAGAAGATTTTATAGCAATTAAATCTAGGAATTTTACAGCAGGAGGGTACAACTTAAATGTCTCAAAATTTACCTACAGAGTCCAGCATCACATTTTATCTGTTCATTTATATGTTTTGGGTGCCCCATAACCTATTAACATGTGTTTAAGACTGTAGCTTTGGGCAATTACCGGTAATCACTACTTGGTCTAAGAGACTAATTTTATGTGAAATACATAATACATTAAAAGACATATTTAAAAAAAAAACATTTTAAATTGACGATTTGCATCCTGGGGAGATGGGGGGGGGAAGCAGACAGCTTTCAAAACCTGCCCTGTGCTGGCTTCCTTCTGAAAAGCAGCTCCCAAACTGCTGTTTGTCCCCAAAGATGCTGCCTACCAAAGAAACACCTCACATGTGAGCCGCCTTGGATTCTTTTGGAGATAAAGGCGGGATAGAAATATTTTACGTAAATAATAAATAGTAGTCTCCGGTATGTTATTCTTTAGCTACTCCTGGAGAAAATCCTATAAAATCTGAGCACTTGTGCAAAGAAACAAAAAGGACAAGTTCTTTTGGGAAAGCAGAGTCAATTAAAATATTTGGAAACAAAAGACAAGCATATAAACAGAAATCAGACAAATGGGAAGAGGAAGGATAATGGATATAGTTTTGTTTTAAGTGGAAACATCAGTAAAAATGTGGGTAAAGGGAAGAAGCTGACAGATTCATGTAGAGGAAAGAAATGGGTTCCTTTTTCAGTTTTGTTCCTGGTTGTAACTATAAAGACAAGTACCTACTGTATGTGTAATTCAGTACATGTGGATTTTCTGTGATCTGTCCTGCTTTTACAACATCTTATGTCAGTAAAATATGAAATATGACCCAATATGGGCAAGAAATATACATAAGAGATTAGCAACATAACCCAAATAAAATCAGCAGAAAATCAGCACAAGATCAGCATAAAAACAAGCCAGCATAATACCAATTTAAGACCAATCCCAAAACCACCAGCAAAAAGGTATAATGTCCAAGATCTCCAATTCATTAAAGATATACAAGTAAAAGTTCTGGGAAGGTATAAAAATCTTCACTTTTTGCTTTATCTCATATGGTATAGAGAAGGGCACCAGCATCATATTTTGAGCATCATGTTCACTGACATGATTTTTTTTAAAGCACTGGGCATCTATAGATAGCCTTAAATAGCTCGTTATTTGGGAGAGTACCTTTCCAACAGAAAGCGACATGGATCTAGATGTACGCGGCACACCATCTTCTGTACCAAGGAAGTAGAACAAAGCATAACAAAGCAAAGGGGGGGAAAAGAAAAAGAAAAAAAACAGAAAAAATTAGTCCTAGAAAACTCAGATACCACAGCTAAATGCTATTTACCATAACTATTTTAAATTAGAATGTTCATGTAAAGCAATATTATACATCTCAGAAAAAAACTAGGAGATAATTTATTTACTACAGCAGTAGAAACTTGGAATTTTAGTTCATTATACTGCAACCAGGTATCATATTTTTCAACTTCTGCTTTTAAATTGGAAGGGTGGGGTGGGGGACAATGTGCTGCCCAAAGGCCATTTTTGTGACTGCTACTAAGGCCTACCACAGTGGACCTGCTCTGCTCTTTTGTTAAACTAAAGCACATAATTCTATGTTATATAACTTCATAATCTGTTTTTGTGTCTATATAGATTTGGGAGTACTCAACTACAAAACCGACAACACTACAGATGTGCTGTAAAATGTCAAGGAGATTGATTGTTTTACCAGGGGAGCCATAGCTTCGGCTTGAATTCTGACTGGCCAGTTTCTTGTACTCCATGAGTTCAGCATGATCCTTTTCATATGTTCTCTTCAGATTTTCCACATACTGCATCATAACTTCAGTGGCCTTCGACATGCGTTTCTCCTGAAAAGAAGAGAGGAAGCAACGTAGACAGAAAAGCATTTTCGATATGACGTAAATAGTATTATCTTCCACTTTCTAGTAAAAGAAATGAGCAAATATAATGGCGCCCCTGAACATTTTACACTAGAGATGGGGACGAATATAAAAACAGATTGCTTTTTCCGATGAATATAGCCGATTCGTTAAGTATTCATTGAGCCATATTTGTGGGTTCCAGAGACGCCCATGAATATGAAGGGATTATATTAACCCCTTTTATTCGTCTTTCATATTTAAAAAAAGAACACAATTCTGCCTACCAGCTGCCGATCAGCTGATTGGCGGCAGAAAGGCAACCACCGCCCCGCACAGCCACCCAATACCACAGCCTATCCCCACACCTCCTTCCTTTCCCTACCTTAGGCCCCATCCCATTCCCACTGGCACCCTCTTACCTTAATTGCTGCTGCCAAGGTCTTCTGGCCTCGGAGCCATGCATGTAAAAATGGAGACTGGCCATCCTTTGCAAAGATGGTGGCTGCAGCTTCATTTAGGGTAGGGAAGCTGCAGCTGCCATTTCTGCAAAGAGCAGCCTGGATTCCCTTAGCCTGCCTTAACGGAATCCAGGTTGTCCTTTTCAAGCTGCAGCTTCCCTACCCTAAATGAAGCCACAGCCGTCATCTTTGCAAAGGGCAGCCAGTCTCCCTTTTTACTCACTGTGATGGAGGCCTGAGGGAGACCTCGGCAGCAGCTATTAAGTAAGGGGGTGTCAGTGGAAGTGAGGTGGAGGCTAAGGTAGGGAAAGGAAGAGGGTATGGGGGTAGGCTGTTGGGGTGGCTGGCTGTGTGTGTGTGTGTGTGTGTGTGTCTGCCTATTGGCTTCTGATCAGGTGATCGGCAGCCAGTAGGCAGAATGGGAATTCTGTGCCATGTGGTAAACTATCCTGGCGCATGTTGGGGAAAGACATAAGAAGCTCAGTTGTGATTCTGGAGTCTCTAAGTACCTGGGGGGAGCTTTCCTGGGGGGTCCTCTTTGTGACTATATAACCCAGGGGTCTGTGATCCAATGCTCACCAAACTTTCAGGAGTCATGGAAAAGCATCTGAGGATACTTCCCTGAAAATATGGTATCTCTAGGTGGTTGAGGGCCAGTGTTATAGCCATTTAAAGTGCAGACAAATTGACAGATCGATTCATCGAAGAATATTCATATTCGTTGATCTGTTAACCTTGATGAATAACGGATGAAAACGAATCACCATTTTTTTTATTTGTCCCCATCTCTATTTTAGACTTCAAGTTATTTTTGTTTCTCAAAGAAAGAAATCTGTACATTTTGGCAAATTCTTCAAAAATAATCTGAAACAAAAATTCTCCCCCATTTGCAACAGCCAGATGCAATAGGTAGATCGATTCCCAGAATCACGTTGTTACAGCTAGCCCTGTAAATATTAAAGACATCTTAGAAAAAAAGAGTTGGAAGCCCTAATTCAGCTCTATTACACAGTCTATTGACAATGAGCATTTATTTGTTTAACTTGCCTTGCAACCATGACACTGATACTAAACCTCTGATATAAAACATAGGGCTTAAACTAATAGCAATAGAATCAAAGTATGACCAAAACAAACCACCACCTGTATTCCAGGGTAGTGGTATATTTTTATTTCACTTTGCTTCAGTTTTCTGTAGTGTAAGAGCTGCTTCCATGGACCATAGTAGTGTATTCCATGCTGATTCATACATATTTTGGTTGGGTGTCATTTGATGATGTTTCCTTATGGACTGGTCAATATGGCCCATGGATGGGCAAAACGAGGGAGAAAAGGAAGAGACAGTGGAGTAGGTGAGGATGAAGAAGATATCAGTGTGCAATTCTGGATGTGTGTGGACAGGGATAACCCAGTGTATCATAGTACATTGAGGAACAAAGACCCTCCATACATATTTTGGTTGGGTGTCATTTGATGATGTTTCCTTATGGACTGGTCAATATGGCCCATGGATGGGCAAAACGAGGGAGAAAAGGAAGAGACAGTGGAGTAGGTGAGGATGAAGAAGATATCAGTGTGCAATTCTGGATGTGTGTGGACAGGGATAACCCAGTGTATCATAGTACGTTGAGGAACAAAGACCCTCCCCAAGGTTCCCCTTGACAATTTGTCCAGTCGTGTCTGACTCTAGGGGGCGGTGCTCATCTCCGATTCCAACTCATAGAGCTAGCGTTTGTCTGAAGACAATCTTCTGTGGTCACATGGCCAGCGCGACTAGACACGGAACACCGTTACCTTCCCACCATGGTGGTACCTATTTATCTACTTGCATTTTTGCATTTTCCATGCTTTCAAAACACTAGGTTGGCGGGAGCTGGGACAAGCAACAGGGGTTCACTCCATCGTGTGAATTCGATCTTATGACTGCTCGTCTTCTGACCTTGCAGCACAGAGGCTTCTGTGGTTTAACCCCCAGCGCCACCACGTCTCCTCCCCGGATGCAAATACCCAGATGACCTATTTAAATCTGCAACAACAACAACAACAAAAATATCAGAATGACCCAGAACAACTGGAAACAACACCATTGGGTGAATGATCTCACAGCTAAACATGCATGGTTTAAAACCAAAGACGTTTAATTATTAAGTACTAAAAGCCTTGGGCCTGGATGGAATTCTCTGCAATTTTTTAAAAGTTTAAGCTCTTTAATTGCAATGGGGAGAACATTTGTGCGTTAGGATATATTATTATTTAATAAAGAACTGTAATGAACACAACCCTACTGAGCAAGGCTGGGATTTTAGGCATAAGGAGATCCTGCCACCCACAGGAATTATGGAAAATCTCACCTCCCATTAATAAAAAGAAGTGTACAACACACTGAAAACACCTTGGGAGATTTCCAATGAGAATGTTTACCTTTGCCCTAGTATTTTGCTTAGTCTGTGTTCCAAAGATGTTTCTTAAATGGGTAACAATATCAGAATTCTAATTATTCACCAAACCACTAAGCAAGGAGGCTCCTACCAGCCACCATATATCTTGAATCGGTGTTTTGCCACTTTGTAGATGCGGCAGAGTTTCCAGCATGGAGGTGGGACTACCCAGTACTGGAGAGAGGAGTTTTCCTGGTGGAGAAAATAAATCCATGCTACAATTGAGGCTGGCCACACAGTTTGGCATCAACCTCACCTAGTCTTCCCTCTGTTCTGTTACTATGTCACAGAATATAATGGAATGGCTGGCTACCCCCTTTGTTTCTCTGATTCCTTTCTTGAACCTGTTTTTATTTTGTCACAACTTTGTGGGCAAGCTTGGGCATGGGGTTAGATCAAATAGTGAATGGGACAACCAGTGAGTCCATTCTCATCTACAGGTTGGATATTCCCTTAAAAGAACAGCAAAACTACAAGCGAGAAGAATCTTGGAATTGTTGTAGATCACAAGCTAAATATAAGCCAACAGTGTGATGTGGCTACAAAAAAGGCAAATGCTATTTTAGGCTGCATTAATAGAAGCAAAGTTTCCAAATTTTGTGAGATGCTAGCTTCCCTCTATTCAGCACTGGTTAGGCCACACCTTGAGTATTGTGTCCAGATCTGGACACCACACTTAAAAAAGGATGCTAACAAATTGGAACAAGTTCAGAGGAGGGTGACAAGGATGATCAGTGGGCTGGAAACCAAGCCTTGTGAGGAAAGGCTGAAAGAACTGGGCATGTTTAGCCTTGGGAAAAGAAGGCTGAGGGGTGATGTGACAGCACTTTTCAAGTATTTGAAAGGCTGTCATAGAGGAGAGGGGCAAAATCTGTTCTCAATCATCCCAGAGTGCAGGACATGCAACAATAGGCTCAAGTTAAAGGAAGCCAGATTTTGGCTGAATATCAGCAGGGCTTGAAAAACCTTAGAATGTCTCACCAGTCAGTCAAAAATTTTACCAGTCAGCATGACCGGACTATAGCCTTGCAATTTAACACATTTAAACTAGGCACTTGTTTACTTTTATTTCTATGTAACAATGTGTACAAGCCCTCAGACTTGGGCTGCTTTATTACCTACGTGCCTGTGGGGTCATGAAGCTTGTATTTTGAATGCGTTTCTTTTGTATGTCTCCAGCAAAAATAAAACTGAAAGCAAAAGTGCACAGCCTCTTAAGGAGCCATGGTTCCCTCCCATCCCAGGATGTGTCCTTGTTGGGTTGAAATTGGGAGCAGGGAATTCTCCAGCATGGGACTACTCTACATCCTCCTGCATAGCTATATATCTATGTGCCGCCTGAACTCGCAAGAAGAGGGCCGTTTCCTTTCTGTAATGGGAGGGGAGGACTGCAGGATCATTGAGAGAGAGAGAGATGGGCTGAGGGTAAGGAGGCAGGCAGGGAGGGAGCTGTGACTTGTCAAGCAGCATTTTTTCACTCATCACAGACAAGTGGACGAGTGCATTTTTCAAGCCCTAAATATTAGGAAAAACTTCCTAACTGTTAGAGCAGTATGACAGTAGAACCAGTTACCTCAGGAGTTGGTGAGTGTTCCAACACTGGAGGCATTCAAGAACAACTTAGATAACCACCTGGCAGATATGCTTAGATTGTATTCCTGTGCTGAGGACGTGGCTGGACTTGATGGCCTTGTAGGCCCCTTCCAACTTAACTTTTCTATGATTTCTATGATTCTATTATCTTGAAGACGAAAGGTACAGGCACACACTTGGTTGAGGGACTGTTGTGCCCGCTCCACTCCCAGGTGTCACAATGAAACAACTTATGGTCTGTTACAACTTTCTCATTGCCCTTGCTGTTTGGCCTGCAAGTGAATGGCTATTCAGCCAGTCTAAGTAATGCCCTGAAAAAGTACATATTATCTTCAAACACTAGGTCATATGCTCTTTTTGGCAATCATTCTCAAAACTTTTGCCAAGACCCAAAAAAGGGCAACATTGCACAGGGAGAGGTGCAGACTCTGAGAAGTGGAATGTAGTTAGAAAAATGTCAGAATAGATCTGGCAAAGTCAAAGATTGCCCATATCAAGACTACCATTTTCTATGAGAATTTAGGAACAGCCTCTTTTTAACATCAAAAGAAAGGAGATCAACTTTATGGCTGCACCCTCTCCCTGCCCTTCACACAAAACTGGGACATTATTTCCCTTCACCACGAATTCTTATGGGTACTGTTGATTATTTAGCACTCTTGCGCAGGGAGAGTTGATAATAGCATGTATGTGTGCATGATAAGGTATCTATATAACAATTTTTTTTTTGGAGAGGGGAGAATCCTTTTCACTAGCTGCACCCACAGAAGTTCCAATCTATGTGTTAAACTGCTGAACTGAAGAAATTGTTTGGAGATGTGGCTTGAGATCTGTTTAAAAGCAAATTCTGAGATGTTAAAAAACAAACAAAAGCATATGTGTGCCAGATGAGCAGGCATTTCCCTATGGACAATAAGCCTTCAAAACTACCAGCAAGGGCTGGTCACAACATGTTGCTGCCTGAGGCTATAGACAAGATGGCACCTCCTATTTCTTATAGAGTAGCTGATCATGCTGGCACTGGAGTTGTACTTTGATACTGCTGAGGGCACAATATCTCTTGCCACTCCTAAAGGCAGGAACCTAGCTTAAGGGATGCTGGACAAGCCCTTACATTTGATCCCCTGGTAATTCATCACCATTTCATCTGCACTCCACGTTTGCTGACATAGGCAACTTTTGAATCATAAATGTCATTCTGGATTGTTGCCAAGTGTCCAATAAAGCCTAATGATTTCAATAGTGAAGTCAAAGAAGATGCATTCAATTTTAATTGTCTTACCTGGCGAACAGCTCCAACCATCTCAGCCCTACTAGATAGTCGTGAGGCCAAACGATGCAGCACAGCAATATCTTCCAACAACTTCTGGTACATTTCTCTATGTTCAGAATGATGCCACAAAGAAGCTGAAGACTGCAATGACAGCATGCATGAATATGAAGAGAACAATTCAGAATCATGTGGTCACGGCAACTGCCAGAACAATTCTGAAGTGGTTCCCCACAGTGGTCCTTTAGGGCACTGGTCCCCAATCTTTTTGCCTCCACAGACCAGTTTAGCATGCAGGTAGTGGAGGAAGCCATTGGTGGAGGCGTGAATGGGGCTGTGTGTGTGTGTGTGTGTGTGTGTGAGGGGCCGTGGGAGGGCCCTGCATGCATGGGGTGTGTGTGCATGGGAGGGGCATGCATACATCTGCGCATGCGGGGTGGGAGGAGATTTGTCTCCGCAGCTCGGTCCTGGCAAGGCCACGGACCGGGACTGGTCCGCGAACCGGGGGTTGGGAACCCCGCTTTAGGGGATTCAAAGCCATAGGAAAAAATCATTCCAGAAATAAAAACACTCTCTGGTGTATAACTGACAACTCCTTCCAAAAACCTAACCAAGACTTGAAATTTCACTATTAGACATACAAGCAAGATTTTGTATTCTAGACATTATTATGTGTGTTCAGAATAAAAAATCAAACATCAACATATTTTTAAAAATCAGTTTCAAAGGTCAATCAATATGATTTCATTAAAACACCAGACCATCTTAGCAAAAACGTAAAATTTGTTTCCATCAACATGGTTTCGAGTAGCAGCTACTCAAAGGTCAATCAATATGATTTCATTAAAGAACTGGAATTATAGATCATCTTAGCAAAAACGTTTAGGAGAAAAATTTATTTCCATCAACATGGTTTTGAGTAGCAGCTAGACATGAATGCATGGAAAAACGAAGTTTAGTATTACCCTCTGAAAGAAGCCAGTGTATATACATAACAAGAGATAATGATCTATAGAATTCATATGGAATTTCTTCTTTCTGCATTTTTGTGTGAGTATGTATGGGTCATGTTTAAAGTATGAGACATACACATTCTAGGCCTCCAGTTCTCCCCAATCCATGTGATGTCAAGCACTGAGCCCATAATTATTCCTGCTGATACATACTGAAGAGTATCAATAGCCTTAGGGAATTTCCTTCTCATTTGCTCCATATTTAGGAGATGAGACCCAGCAAATATACACAGTCATTAACTAATTCATAAACACACATATGCAGACATGGTGCCAAACCTTTCCACAACAGCCTGCAGAAGGTCAACGAACTCTACCCAGCCACAAGGACCAGGGATCATTGCACAAAAAAGACCTGCTAAAGACACCCATCAACCACAGTGACAGAGAGCTCGAAAAACCCACAACAACCAGATGATATTGGTCGTGAAAGCCTTCGAGAATACTTTCCACAATACATTGTAAACTATCTAGCAGAAGTGTTCTTATTTTCAACTCGCATGTATTTTTTCCTACTCAAATAGCATTGCCCCCATATCGTAAATGTAAGGAGCAGACAAAGAAAAAGAATGAAGGGGAAATTTAAAAAATCTGTTTGATGGCTCTTTAATCTGAGCTCTGTAATAAAACCTGTGCTGGAAGACCATTACCATTTCTATTCTATTGAAAAAACATTAGTTAAGGTTAGACTTTTGAACCACTTGCAGTAAAGGTAGTATGTTAAAACCATTGCACAACCATTAAAACATTTTTTTTCATTATATAAAAGACACAGTCAATTATAAAAATTGACTTTTGGGGACATATTAAAACAGAGGTAGCTGTACTAAATTCTCACATGCATGGGCTACATTGAAGATTACCACGATCTTCTTACCGTAATAGCTGCTTTAAAGTTGTTTAATTCCTTCTCAGTGTTCTCTTCAGCAATATTTCTCTCTCTCTCAGCTTGGCTAATTCTTGATTCCAAAGTGTAACTATCATTTCTGAAAGCTAGTGACAGTTGTACAAACACATTCTGTCAAAGAAAAAGAAAAGTCTCACTGAAAGTTGTTCAAGCAATCATAATGAAGTATAAAAGGAAAATGTTTGTACATAACAGTGAGAAATAGTAAGAACTTAGTGCTACACAGAGGAGCACCAGGTCTCAACTTGCCCTTGAGTCTTCTACAATATGGAAGACTACATCTGGGTATATGGAAACTGGCTTAAGACAACCAGCAACCAGGGAACAGGTGGTGACATTAATTTGACATATTATAGAGCACCGATCCTACCAACAATATTTAAATTGACTGTTATGAACTAAATATAAATAGTGGTATTGGCTTTGAGGCTCCACAACACCAGCTCCTGAAGCTTACAACCTCCCCATATGCATTGTATGCGGTTCCTCAAAGGATTCAAAGAATATGGCACAGAGCAGCATTAGGAGAAGAATGGTATTAACCTTTCTTATTGCCCCACAACTCATGTTCTTTTGGTGCATTTTTGTTAGTTATTTTTCTGCTTCTTGTTCTTAGAGTAGTCGTCTTATGATTTGCTGCTCAGTGATGTAATAAGTTTTTTTATTTTTACACAATATGATGTTTGTTTCTGTCTATAAAGAACTATAAGTAAACAGAAACATTTTATTCTTCCTCATTACCAGAGTCTCTGAATGAATGATTGAAACAGTAAGTGCCAATTGAGGTAAACTAATAAATAAAAGGTGGGCTACTGAAGGAGACTTGAATCCAATCTGCTCTGTAGGCTTCTGACTGAACCATTTTATCTGCTGCATAATTAGAGGAAGTTTATTTTTAATTAAAGCCACATTCAATTCCCACCCACTTTGCCTGAAGAAAATCAGACATTAGACATTAAGAGGAATACATATTTCATCTGGTGAACTTATTTTCCTTTCAACAACAGGAGTCCCTCAAATACTGTATGAGTATTTCAGCAGTCAAAATGGTATATAAAGCTCACGTTTATGTTTGATACATAATTATGAAACAAAACAGGCTAAATGGAAGCCACAGAAGTGATGAAGAGTACATGTTGTGACAAATAGGGGCCAAATACAGTTTGACTACTGTATTTATTAGACAAAAAGATGGCTTAGATTCAGATGAAGGAGTGAAAATAGGCAGGGAAAATGTCAAGGAAATATACTAGATTACTGTGAGAAAATGGCAATGACTTGAAACATCTACTGAGGAAAGTCAAAGAAAGTGCAAAAGCAGGAGTGCAGATAAACATTAAGAAAACAAAAACTATGACTACAAAAAAAATTACACGTTTGTCAGCAGTTAAGAAATGGAAATAGGTCAAGATTTTCTATATCCTGGTTCAGTCATAAATACAAATAAAGACTAAAGGCAAAAGATCAGAAGAACACTGGAACTTGGAAGTGCAACTATGAAAAAAAATTATAAAAGATGATTAAGAGGAATGGTTTAATTGCAGACCAAGACCAGGATCATGCATATTATATTATTCCTGATTGCTATGTATGGATGTGAAAGCTGAAAAGACAAGAAAACTGACAGGAAAACAATGATTCATTTGAAATGTGGTGTTTGCAAATACCATAGACTGCCAAAAACAAATGAACAAGTGCTAGATTGATTCAAGCCACTGCTTACTCAGCAATAAGAAAATTGAGGTTTTTGTAATTTGGGTGCGTTGTGGAAGCAACAAATTACTGGAAAAGACAATAATGCTGTGGAAAAGCTGAAGGCAAGAGGAAGGCAGAAGACAGAACATAACATGAATTCATTGAACAAAGAAAGCCATGGAATAAAGTCTGTAAATTCATACAGTTGCCATCAGTCAGAAGAGAAATGTACTGGATAGAATAACAGACAACAGATCAGGAGACTGGAATTTGAATCCCTAAATGGCCATGGAAACTCATGGATAGTGGAAGAGGTAAAATCTTAAATCTCACAATTACCTTGAAACCCTTTTAAGGATTATTATAGGTTTGCTACTTGGTACATACTATTATGTGTTATGTGTTGTTAATAACATAACTAACATATGTCTTTCAGCTCTTGAGAATACTTCTAAACATGTCCTAAATTTTTTGTCCAGTTTGAATCTTCAAAATTGCTTGAGCTAGTCATAGAAAAATGAAACTTGCTAAATTGTACCATGGCATTTTTGTATCTTACATGACACAAAATGTTACAATATATGTTATGAAAATATTTGCACTGTAGCTTTTCATGTCACCATTCAGATATTTTTTCTTTTAACTTATGTTTATCGGAAATCTTGGAAATTAGATAAACAAAATTTATTTGGATTCCAAAATCTCAGAACCGCAAGTCAATCTTTTTCCTTCTTTTCCTCTGTCAAGTTGTCCTGGGATGTAGAGATATATTATGTGGATGAATTCAACATTTCATTATGCATGAATGACATCATAGAAGCTTCTTCGAAAATATTTCCACTAAATCTTCCCCAGGGACCAAGAAATTTTTTCTAACTATATAATGGTCAGTGTTTTGTTGCACATATAATTAGATAGCAAAGAGCCTTTAAACTATTTTGGTTAAAAAGACATACCTCAACCTCTCTTTCAGTAAGTGGAGGAGAGCTGAAATAAAAGCAAAAACATAGCTATAAGGTTTGAGAGCAGACAAAAGGACATTTATTCAGCATATCTGGTATCTAATAAGCTAGACCATTTCCCTCAAATGTCAGAGGTCAGCTGAATTTGCATGTCCTACAAAGAAAGAGTATAAAAATATACCAGAGAGGTCTCCAACCTAAATCAAGCAAGTTCTGAATTCATATTTCTATAAATAATTCCAGAAAATCTATGTATACCATGAGATACTTGAAAATGGAATTACTGAATAACAACTTTGTTAAGGGAAAAAGAAAAAAAAAGACAAAAACAATGCATCACCTCAAAGAATAGCTGCTATATTTTAATGTGAGCTTTTGTGGACAAGTCCACTTCCTGATTTGAAGACATTTTGCCCGATAAATTTTTGCAGAGGTAATCAGTATCACCATTTTCTATTTTAAAGAAATATAAACGTATAGGAAATTAAGTATGCTGGTTTAAACTAGAATGCAGTGGGAGCACCAAAATATCATAAATTGAGCATAGCAAATAACAAACAGCACCAAGTAACAAATGCCACTTAATATTAATCAACATAAACAAAGTAGATGCAGAGATAGATATAAGGAGTCTACTGGGTTCTAGTAGACTCTAGTAGTTTAAAACACTTGTAGTAAACCATAAAGGCCAAAATATTATTCAATATTTTTGTACAGCAAGAGGAATTGTGAAAATTGCTGATTTATTGTTCCTAATTGACAATATGTCAGCACTATTGCATGCAGTTTTGACTCATTTATGGATGAGTACCTATTCTGATCTACATCTTTCTTGGTTTGGTCATGTGATTATCATCACGTCCGAAGAGTAAAGGTTTCTCTTTGCAAGCACGAACCCATATTTTTCACTATTCTCGCTGATATAGAAAGCCTATACTTGAGTAGAAATGTCTCCTTCTCAGATTCTGCTATGATTCTGTTATCAGTGCAGTGACAGAGAATGTAGCATCAGATGCTCTCCTTTAAGTGTGTTCAAACCTACAGATTCGGGAATGCCTGAATAGGCTATAGTGAACGTATATGTGGATGTGGCAAAAAATTGACTTGACTAGTAGAAGTAAAAGAATCTGAGTTGCAACAGGTTGATTTGTTTATAGTTTGTGTATTCACAAAGGCTTTCACAGTTGGGATCTAATGGTTGTTGTGGGTTTTTTGGGCTCCTTGGCCATGTTCTGAAGGTTGTTCTTCCTAATGTTTCACCAGTGTCTGTGGCTGGCATCTTCAGAGGACAGCACTCTGTGCACTCTGTGTTTATTGTTTCTCTAAAATAACATGGAAGAATTCCCATTGTGAGTTCACGTATTTTAGCTGAAGCTTTGTATAACAGAATAGGCACCTATCAGTGTATGTGCTGATTAGCCCGTTGGTTTTTTGTGTGATTTACATCTTGCCTATGTATATTTAAAGACATATAATATGCAATTATGCATTATAGGCAGCCTCTGCAGGAGGAGATTTCCCCCAAAATGTTGGTTTATACAAAAATATATGAGGGTTTTGTAATCTTGCGTCACTTTTGCTTTTTCTCTTCAGATTATGGTGGGAAACAATTTATTCTCTAGCATTTGTTTCTTGGCAAATGCAAGATGATTAGCCTCTCAAGAGCTAAGAAATATTTATATAATGCTAATTTATTGTTTCAGCACAGAGCTATATAAACATCACAAAAGCTCTTTCATTTCCTCAATTGGTAGGAAAGATATCACATTTCTTGAGAAGCTGACAATTCCAAGATACTGTGGTATTGTCATTTATAAGCACCACATCACAGTAAATAATGCAAAAGAAACACAGGAAGTATCATTTCCTTAATTTCACCACAGAGAGAGAGACACACACTCAGTAAATGTACAGTCAGGATGCAAGGTCAAGGTCATTTATGTTTTGAGCTAGTTGGCCAACTGTATTTTCTGTTTAAAGAATTATTTTGTTACTGCCGAAAGCCCAAACGTGGAGTTCTCTCAAATAATAATGACTCAAGTGATGTCATTTGTGATTATAACTTTGCTTGTCAATGCAGTATTGCTATAAAGACACCCACCTCTTTCCTTATATAAACTTATCCTACTACATTTTATCTTCATAACATCCCTTCAATGGAGGTTAGTTTGAAAGAATGTAAATGGCTTAAAGTGAGTGTCAAGGAGGTCTTGTGGCAAGGAGATAAAATTCCAGTTTCCACAGTCCTACTCTGACACTAGTTGCACCACTAGACTCTTATTCTTCTGTCACAGTCACATGAACAGAAGTGGAGAAAAAAATATACACCAGTGATGATTCTGCTCAGCCAGGTCACAGGATAGGATTATGGGCAAGGCAGTTGAATACAAACGGAGGACATCAGCTTGGACCAGGGCCAGGTATGGATCTGTTGCCATCTCAGTTCAATGGAAACAATGTTCTGATGACTTTATGAGTGCCACCTATAACTGAGTTTACCTTCCTGGAAGAGATGTGTGCACACGCAGTTTTCGTAAAAGAGTATCAGGAATGTTGGGCATGACATCACATTTGTTCTTTGGCTCCTCCTCCTCCTCTGATAAGAAGGGGATTGGTGAAGAACCTAAGGAAGATATCATAATTTATTTATTTTTGCTATCACATTTCTTAAGGAGCAATGTTTCAGTAATACAGTGTGAGAAGCAAATATATGAAATATACCATGGAACACTAGCCACTCACTAATAGTCTTTATGTTTTCAGGAGATAGAGAAAATGTTCTGCCTTCTACAGAACCACTTTCAGGATAAGATTAATCTGAAAATGTTATTCATGAATGACTGAGTACTAAAATCCAGCTATTTAAAGTGACAGTCATATATAGAGATGGAGGTATTTGTATTCATATACGAATATCCCCGTGCAGCTGGAGTTAATGAGGGTCTGGCCCCTGGGGCCGGACCATCCACTCACACATCCGCCGCCACCAGCCCATCTCTTCCTTCCAATCACTCCAGAGTGCCGCTCAGCTAGCCACTTGGCAGCCTTGCAGGGAGACTAGTCCTCCCTCCCTCTGCCAGGAGTGGCTAGACGAATAGAACGGCAGTTGGGAGCGACTGGAAGGATGAGCAGGGCCAGCAGGGCCAGCGGACATGTGACTCCAGTTGCGCGGCGATATTTGTATTCGTATATGAATACACCATCTCTAGTTGTATAGCATTCTACTACTACATTAACAATAATAAAGTGAAATTAGTTTTCCTGTTGAAAAAGCGATAGCTTGCGATACTGTTTTCAGCCAGTCCTGATCTGCACACCAACTGACATTAGTTTTAATCATGTGAAGTATCTTAATCCAAATTACATTGCAATTCATGTAACCTGTGTGTTAAAGTGTTTTATGATAAGGGTGCTTATTAGATGAAATTCAAGAATGTTACTGAGCTAATTTGAAAAGTGTCTTACACGGGATGAATGCACATTATTTCATTGTTTCCCCAAGAACTAATCTTCTCCTCTTGCATTAGAGATGGGGAATATATGGTCTTAAGATATTGTTCAACTTCTGTTCACATACTCATCAAATAGGCCAAACAATTTCAATGATGGAAGTTAATAGGACAGCAAATTTTGGAAGGCCACGAATTCCCCAGCAATATAAGAAGAGGTTTCATATGATGGTGGCTTTTATTGACATATTCCAGCAAAGGACTTAGTCTAGGAAAAGAGTTATGGTTAACAGAGTGGATCCCTCTTCCTCTTGGTCCCAAATACATTTTCCTATCAGTTTTTATCTTATTTCACCTCTTTCCTGTTCAGCAGCTTCACTGAGGTCAGGGAGCTTAAGTCCAACTAAATTTTGGTTCCGCATTAATATATGCTCCTAGTGAAGAAGGGGAAAAAGCCTGAATTATTTCTTAATAGTTTAAATAAAAACTTCAGTAACAAAATAAAGTAATGCAAGCACAGCGTTATAAATGCATAGGAAACAGAAGCTGCAAATGGTAATCAGTTAATGGATTCAGAAACAAATCAGCAGTTACAAAATATTTCTTATAAATTTATTCTATACTCTTGATGTAAAATACTTCCATTGTTGTTCAAAACATAATAAAAACAGAACAAAAGTTTCCAAAACAATTGCAACAGGAGAACAAGGTAAAAATAAGAGTGGTGAATATGGTTAAAGCTTTGGGCATAAAAGGTCTTTTTTAAATGTGAGAAGTACTTTATGGGAGGACCCAAGGGAGCAGAGTAACACAACCAAGAAGGACATTTCTATAGATGCCAACCATTTTGCCTCAGTGAGGGCAGTAGGATAAAGCCACCACAGATAACTTGAGTGTATAGGGAGCTTGGTAAAATTTGAAAGTGAGCACACTTGCTTTCAACTAGAGGTGTGCAGATTTATGAAACCTAAATCTGCATACTTCTATTTTGAACTGTGCCCAGAAATGAAGTAGAAAGCAGTGCAACCATTTCAGCACTGACAAAATAGCTTTCTAATCTCATTTAGCAGCTTTAGTTTAAACTCGGCATTAGTCCAACAGTTGTGAGGAAGGCATTCCACATACAACACATTAAAGCATAGTCTGGCCTGAGGTTACCACAGGGCAGATCAGCCAAACTGTCTCTTTTCAAGAGGTGCTGCAGCTGGCCTGCTGACTTTAGTTGATAGAAAGTGCTCCGTGTCACAGAGGTGACCTGAACCTCTCTGGCAAAGCTCATTTCAAGGAGTGGCTTAACGCTTGGAACATAGTGGCCAATATCCTCTTGCAGCGCTCTGCCAGCACAATGGAAATGATATCACTGGTGGTCACTAATTATAGAGTTCCTTTTGCTGTTTCAGAATATGTGTGACTTCATATTGCTGCACACAAGTTGGGCACATCCCCAAATTGAAGAAGGAACTTTTAAATTAGCAGTGATTTGCTGCTGGTGACATTATTCCTGTTGCACCAGTGGTGCTCCTCAAGAGGCTACTTGATTTAGGGAAGTGACATACCACCTACAACAGTCTGAAAGAGCAGGATAGGAAAACATACTATCACAATACCTGATAATAAAAGAGCATATTAACTGTCCAAACTGAATTGAGTACTACTTTGTGTATTGTTGATTCTAGTGTATCTCAGCTCTCACCCTCTGGGCAGCTTATAGAACAGTGGTCCCCAACCTTGGGCCTCCAGATGTTCTTTGACTACAAATCCCAGAAGCCTTCACTACTACCTCTGCTGGCCAGGGCTTCTGGGAGTTGCAGTCCAATAACATCTGGAGGCCCAACGTTGGGGACCCCTGTTATAGAATATGTAACAAAGTACAATATTAACATTTAACGTGTCCTTCAGATCACCAATGATACAAAAAGGATATTTTAGGACAGGTTTGTGGTTAATCATCATCATTGAACTGCAGAGCTCGATCATCAAGTCCAGCCTTGGTCAAGGAGGCACAGAAAGAGACCTAAACCACTAAACTATCCAGCAGCTCAAGGAACTGGGTTTTTTTTTGTTTTTTTGTTTTTTGTTTTAAAATCACAATGTCTGAGAAGATGGGGAACAATTTTTTCAACTTCAAATTTGAGAAGAATAGTTTCAGGGCGTTTTCTTTGCAGGCCTTGATTTTTCCCTTTTTGTGTTCAGTTTCTGTAGAACTCGGGTTTCCATTGATGTCTTTTTGCTTACATCAAAAGAAGACTCCAGAGGTTCAATTTTACTTTTTTTGAATTACAGTTCCTCAATCCCTTCCCCCCCCCCAGCATAGCCAAAGGCATCCTTTAGTAAAATGGAATTCTTCCTTGTAAACAGGTTGAATATATTACACATTACTTATAATGCTTCCTGCATTACTCAGATAAAAAGCTACAGGATATAGCAGTACAATTATTGGCAGATAATCAACACTGTGGGTTCATCCAGATGGTACATTTCATCCTCTCTCCTTTGTGCTGTTTGGTGTAAAGAGAGCATAGGGTTTCTACCCACACTTCTTCCTAAAATCCTACTTGTCTACTCTTTAAGAAATCAGCTACATTTTAAGAAGTGGTTCAACATTATTTCAAGAAGCTTAAAGAAATATTTTTAAATCCTCTTCTCTGCAGTGGAGATCCTTTGCTAATTCTGAAACTAGCCTTCAGAAAACTTTTTAAAAATAATTGAGGAAATGCTTTAAAAACAATGCTGCGTTTCTGCTTTCTTGCTACTGTTATTGTTTTAGTATATCAACTCTAAACTGAAAGCTTCCCACCAGAAAAGCACTTGCCACCTGAACTTCATCCCAGTACAATGTAAAACAAGGGAAAATTACCTACAGGATGTGGCTTTTTAAAAGCCGAGAAAACAAGGGGTTTCGGTACTCTTTGTCACTGCTGGTATCAATTTAAGCTTTTTGTCATCTGGTATGGTGGAATACAATCAGGACCCAACACTGACAGCTCCCAATCAATGGATATAAATACTGTAGAGGAACAAATACCAACACTGGAGGCATCCAAGAAAAACTTAGATAATCACCTGGCAGATACACTTTGATTGTATTCCTGCATTGGGCAGGGAGTTGGACTTGATGGCCTTGTAGGCCCCTTCCAACTTCACTTTTCTATGATACAGTACTTTGCCTGAAGAGCCCTTAACTAGCACTTTTTGCTGCTGGCGTCAGGAAATTTGTATTCTATTTGGCCAAAGAATGAATTAACTTTCCAAATTCCATCAGTAGTTATATATTCTGAACACTTCTGCTTGGAATTAACTAGTGAACTGAAGGCCCAACTAAACAGAATAATAAACACATAATTAGAAAATATTAAAGGGTAAAAATAAAAAATAATACTGTAGGTGTTAGAGAGGAGTGCTGAATTTTATTTTAACTCTTTAATTCTGATGAACATTCCTAGGCTTACTAGGCAGATAGTAATTTATGTATTTATATATTCTGTGTGACACTGGGGCACATTTATGGCCAATATCTATAACCAATTTGCTGTTTCACTACCCAGTGCTTTAAGAGCTTCTGACCCTGGTTCCAAGGGCTTTTGTTTAAGTATGCGAAAAATGAGGGCATACCCACAAATGAGCTCATACAGGACCTGAAAAAGAAGAACAGGACTATTTTAAAGCTTCTATGAGGATGAAACTGATTGTTATTTGTGACTACAGTAATCAATTTCACATCTCTTAAAAATTCTATAGATTCAGAACACTGGTGAGCAGAGCACCACCTTCCAGACATTACTGGACTATATCTGGCACTATTGTTAAAATGGCATCAGTAGGTCAGTGGTCTGAAGAGAGCCAAGAGCAACCTCTACTCTGGAAGTTGCAATCTCTTAACATCTGGAGCCGTGTACTTTGTCATCACTCACACACAAAGAAAGAGATGCTACATTTAAGAACAGTTTCTCATCACTCTCAGATAAAATTCACCTTCTCATATTCTTATACTTGCTACCAATGCTTTATTCACAGGTAGGCAGGCAAGGACATTACTTCTTCGCTGCCAAAATGTAGGTTGCTCTTGACTCTCTTCAGTTTGATTCTGCCTGAATTTTTCTCTTACACACCGTTTGTGTTTCACTTCTTTAGAGGCCAGAGATGATCCTCTGAGACGGTGTGCACTGTCTTGGGAGAGACAAGTTAAAACAGCAAGAAGGAAAATGCAAAATAAAGGGAAGTGCATGAACAGCAGAAATCCTTGAAACAACACTTCAGAGAAGGCCTGTTGATATATTCTCAGGAAGGAAAGGTTTTTCTAGAGCTGATGAAATGTCCTAGGAGACTGAAAAAGGATATTTTACTCCCAAATATTACTCTGAGAGATGACAGGACAGTTCATCAGCCCCTTCTTGTTTATATTTTGCATACTTTGTCTAAGACTACACTGTCTTTTATGGTCACTTTTACAATACACAATAGGGAAGCCACCTATGTTCTTTTTATAATAAAAGTTACTCAGTCCACAGGGATTTTTAAACAAACTATTATGAGTTTCTAGTTTTACATTACTGTGGGAAAAAAAACCTTATTTAATATCAAAATGTTGCAATGACTCTGTGGGATCAGACTGACGGTCTATCTAGTTCAACATTCTGTTCCCACAATGGCCAGCCAGAAGGAAGTCCACAGGCAGGAGATAGTGTACAGGCAGCACTCTTCCGCTGATGTTTGCCAGCAACTGATACAGAGAGGAATATTGCCTCTGATGTTAGAAGTAATGTATAACGGTCCATTAAAGCTGAACACATGTGACAGGATGATTGCACCAAAAATGTGTTAGTTCAGGTAGTTAATGCCAGGTAACAGCTTTCTGTAATTGTAGTGAATTAAGATATTCAAATAATTTACTAAAATAAAAAAATAAAAAACTGCACAGAGGAAGAAGGGTTTTGATACCTTGTTCTTACACAGAGACATTCAGTCACAGTGTCCTTTCATTTATAGATATATTCAGACAGGTATGGTATACTATCTCCAAGTACAACTACCATCTGGAACTTTATACTGTACAGCTGAATAACATGTGGAACTTCTTTCAGCCTTTGGGCTGCATGCAATTTTAGAGAAGTTTTCAGGGTCACATTCCAATGGTGAGCAGGGTCAATGGAAAAGGGGTGGGACCAAAACTACGGAAATATTTTAACTTAACTTTGTACTACCAGAAAGTAAACCTTAGGAAAAGCAAGTTTCAACTTTTGGAATGGAAAAACCTGTACAAAACTGGGGAAATGATCCAGCATACGAGGAAGGGATCCACCAATTTAAAAGAAACACCAGAGAGTTAGACTTGGCCCCTGAAATTAAGTTTCTCCACACCTGTTTAATAGTGTATTTATCTGTTTTACATGGGTCTTTTATGGTCACAGTCTCTGCAGACATCTTCCTTAAAAGAGTGATGAAATGTCTTGTTTAAAGAGGTAAACACAGCAAAAAAAAAAGGAAAAAGAAAAGAAAGAAAAGAAAGAAAAGAAAAGAAAAGAAAAAGAAAAAGAAAGAAAATAATGGCTGAAATCCAGTAGTGTAAAGTTTTGGCTAATGACCTCATGCTCTACAGCTGTTTTTCCAGAATTAAACCTTTCCACTTCTCCAACCTGAAGGTTTGGCAGTTCCCTTGCGATCCAATTTGACCTGGGGAAACCCCTTGGGGCCACAGCACTGTTGAGAGGAATATTTAATTCCCCAAAATCATAGGTGCTGATCTTGGCTATGGTGATTTTTGGAAATTAAAGACTTCCTCCCCCATCCTGCAGACCCCCAAGAGCTTGACTAGAAGGAAAGAGATAGCAAGGGAACCTTGGGCCTGGTTGAGGAGGGACTGAAAATTTTCAACTTTTCCCCAAAACAGTAAAAGCTGTCAACATTATCAGCCTTATGTGCTGTAATCTACTGGATTTCAGCTGAGGTTTCCCAAAAGGGCTGAAATGAAAAGTTGTGGCAGTCAGAATTTTCTAATGACCAAATCTGCCCTAAAGTTCTGCAGTTAGTTCTGATGACCTTTCTCTTAAAGATCCTAGCCTGAATTCTTTGCCTTTTACATACAACCCCCACTTATTTGCCATGTTCTAATTCAGTTTCCATTCAACCATCGAAACATGCCAACAACCTTCAGGCGAAAAGGTCATTTTCCCAGTCTTCAAACTGCATTTTCCATTTCCTTTATTACAACATAGTGCTGCTGTATCGCAAATATTGGAACAAACACAGTTGAAAATGACATCTATTTTATAGAATCTCACCTCTCTGAGCTTTGTTAACTTCTGCATTCGAATTGGCTGAACTTGTATCTGGAGATCTTTGAATGCTAAAGGTTTAGCGGATGGATTGCTGGACTTATTACTAATGGCAAAGTTTTTTTCATCTTCAGATAGTGGCTTAAAAGGTGCTTTTTCTACATTACCACGTTCTGCATGATCCCTTAAGACTCCTCGTGATAGTGGAGTGCACACCTCAGATGTATTGATTTCTGTCTTATATGAAACATTGGAATCCTTTAATAGCAGTACTGAGCCCTTTAATTTAGGATCCATTGTAACCATCCCTAGTTGTTGTGAGGGCCCTTTGAAAGAAGAGTCACTTTCTTTTTGTTTTTTGAGGAATACTTTCCCAAGTTCACTTTCACAGCTGCTTGTGCTGCCATTTACAGACAATCTGCCGTTATCAGTACTTGAAGTGGGGGATTGGGATAGATTATCCATAAGTTTACAAGGATCACATTTTTCTTTTTCTTTTTGTTCAGACAGCTTTTCCTTTGGACTTTCAAAACTAGTTGTGCGAGGAACCAATCTTCCCTGAGAAATCTTTCTTTGATCATTATCCTTTTGATTAGTAATTAATCCTTTTGTGGCATTCTGAAATGAAAGAACATTTGGCATGATTAACGAAATTTATAATATGAAAAAATATAAACAAATGTAATTTAATATTTCACTAAAATCTAAGCACCTATCTTGTAAGGCCACCAACAGAAATGTGTTAATAAACGAAGTATAGTGGTGCCCCGCTAGATGATTACTCCACAAAATGACGAATCTGCATGACGATGACTTTTTGCAATTGCCATTGCACTTCGCAAAACAGTATTTCCTATACGCGATTTTCGCTGGACAATGTTTCGGTCTGTGCTTCGCAAGACAGGTTTTTTTTCTGGGACCGATGCTTCACAACATGACGATTTAAACAGCTGATCGGCGGCTTCACAAAATGGCTTCCCCATGGGTGATCTTCACAAAACGGGTGTTTTCGCGAGCAATGCTTCGCAAGACAGCGATTTAAACAGCTGATTGGCACTTCGCAAAATGGCTTCCCTATGGGCGATCTTCGCACAACGATGACTATTTCCCCATTGGAACGCATGAAACGGATTTCAATGCATTCCAATGGGGAAACACTTTTCGCAAGACGATGTTTTTGCTAAACAGCGATTTCAATGGAACGGATTAACATCGTCTTGTGGGGCACCACTGTAATCTGTTCTGTAATCCCTACTCTCATGAAGCTCCCATTGCATTTCTGATAAAGTAGTTGGAAGCTGAAATTGCACAGATCAAGTGCTTACTTCAGGAAGCGTTTGCACTGAATCAGTGGAAGGTATAACTGAAATGTTACCCCTTTTATTTAGCTAGATATATTTATAGGTCCTTTAATAAAACTTCTTAGAGATCACTAAAGAACTACCCACATGTACCATGCTCACTGTTATCCTGCTCCAGAGATTCATGACTTCCTGAACCCAAATATATGTTACAAAGATTAACAATGCAATTCTATTCATATCACTGGTCTACAGCCAAAATGCTTCTGAAATAAATATAGTCAAATTTTACTAATTCTGGGTCACTGAGTATGAAAATGAAGTATTAAATTGTTGATTGGCTCAGTATATATAACACTTGACTTGGGAATGGCAGTGGATAAGTGGGTTATAAAGGGAAGGGGTCTCAATTTAAACCAGAAATGACAAAAATATATCTTTGACTGGATCTATGAATTCAACAGTACTTGCTTTTTAGGCAAAACAATGAATGATGAAGCTGGTATTGCATCATACATAATATGAATTGCATAATGTTATTCCTAGACGTCATGGATGATGAAGTCATAATGAAGCTTACATCACTCTGCTGAACAAATTGCCCTAGAAATCATTCAGTGTTATGCTCTCTTATTTTTAAGTGTTTGATTTTACAAAAGGATATATTTTCTGTTTAGCCAAAGTGAGGATAGACGTCTCACTTTATTGGCCGCCCTCAACATTGTTCACAATCCAGATGAGTTGAGACTATTCATTGATTCTTCAAAAAAGAGTCTTAAAGCTGTTTTGCTGCATAATGGGAATGTTTTGCCATAAATTCTTGACAGCGATTTTTGCGGAACGCATTAACCTCGTCTTGCGAGGCACCACTGTACTTGGAAACAGCCAATCAGTTGTTTTAATTGTCATATTTGGATTTAGCACATCAAAATACTTAATAAATAGCACATTTTATCTTGGAAGCAGATGACATCTAAAAAATTGTAGACCAGTGTATTTATTCAAGTCAGCCATTGTGGGCTTACTTCCAGATGATCACGGACAGGACTGTGCTGTAAGACTCAAGAAGTCACGTTATATGTGTGTGTGTGTGTGTGTGTGTACTGTATATATATACTGTATATATATACTGTATACACACACAGAGAGACACATATTAAAAAACAGCTTTGGGTACCTTTCCTGATTCATATAATGTTGTTAGAAACATTATACTTGGATGCAGCTCAGCAGAACCCTAAAGCATTAATGGATAACATGTAGTCCTCAGGAGCCCATTATGGCTCCCCGCTCCCCTAAGGCATTCTCCTGTTCCCCCACACCCTCCTTATTATTAGCTGGGACTGGCTAATATGAATATTATTCCAGTACTTTGCCATTTGCACTGGATTCCAGTTATTTTCAGATCCACAATTCTAGTTTTTACCTTTGATGCCCTAAAACGCTTGGAATGAGGATACTTTAATAATGTCACATGAGGCTATTCTTCAGGAGCTGTCATTAGATAAGACAAAACAGGTGGATGAAAAGTGGGGGCCAATGAAGTGGTGGATCTCCATCTGTGGAATACCCTCATAGAGAGTTTATACACTTTTTGGTGCCAGGTTTTCCCACTTTCAGGAACTGATTTTAGTATCTCTAAATCTTTACCATTTTAAAATCTCCATTGCTTTTTTCTTTTACATGCTACTGATGATACTACTAAGGGAGCATGCAATGCATATAATTTAGTTTGACAAAAACAATGCTCATCAACTGAAACACCTTACAATATTCTTACCTGAAGTGGAGACACTGAAGCAGCAGGGGATGCACATATATCAGACCCTAAAAATGTTTTATATAAAAAAAGTGTTGAAACCAGTGTCATATAATTCAGTATATGAGATTTAGAACCAAAAACAATGGGTAATATGGCTGCTGTATTAGTCAACAAAGCAATTCTTTTAGCAAAAATCTCTGAAAAAATCAACATACACTCAGATTCTACGACAACTACTTCACACAACATGTTGCCCCATGTGCACCTTGCTAGCTTGCAAGATCTTCTGAATCTAGGCTTTGCTCAGAGATTTCCTTTTATGGAATGACTAGCTTGGCCTCTACCCAGTTGCAGCCCTGCTGTTGTGATAATCCCTTCCAAGAGGGAAACATATCAATTTCTTACCTCTTAGTCTTTTGTAGGCAAGTAATGATCTTTAAAAACTAAAATGAATTGCTGCACCCCTTGCTTTAGCCCTGCCACGCTCATGATCACTAGTTTTCTTTTTTTGTTTTAAATTGTTGATTTATTATAATATTATAAACTATTGCAGTATATGTTATGAACAATGGCTTATCAACAGTTTTAAAACAAGAATAAACAATCACAGAATTCAAAACCACAAATTAGAACAGTCAATGTGTTTGAATAGGTTATGGAGAGATTAGACAAATTCAAGAAGTTTACAGATCTGTTAGTGATTATTAGCTATGGAACCCACCACTTCAGAACCAGTAGATAGCCCTACTTCAGTCAAGCCCTGTTTTCTGGCTTCCTAGAGGCATCTGGCCAGCCATTATGAGAAACAGGATTCTGGACACTTCCTGTTTTTCACACTGTGTTGCATTCCCCTCTCCCTATTTATTTGACAAAGGAGATCAAATCTGACTTCACATGGTTGTTCAACCAGTATATAATTCACTCAATTCAAAAACAACAAATTCAAATAGGAACATGCAGCATTCATTGATTTTACCTGGTGGACTTGGAAGGGTGAAAGAATTGCTTCGAGATGGCACAGGTGAAACACTGGGACTGAGCGCTGGGGACAGGCCTGTAATAAAGTTACATTCAGTTGAATACAAAGATGCAGTTCAATCTTCTGAGGCAGTTTTATGAGTGTTCACAATAAGGATGGAAGTTAGCCTACAGCAGATATCAGAATGATACCATGGCATCACAGAGAAATGGAAAAGGGAAGGGATGGGAAGAAAGTGGGTGGAACAGACCACATCACAAGCACTGCCAAGTCCAGTGGGTCCTCCCAAAACTATTGGCAGTGCTCCACTCTGTAAGAAATAAGGACAGCAAGAAAACAAAAACGGAAATCCACTAAACATATTTCTCAGTTACTCTGAGATGTGGCAAGTGAGGAACTCTAGGTATTCCTCACAAGACTTTAACACCATCACAAGCCATACTTTAAAGCGATCACAACTTCATTTGGTGTACCCGTGATGGGCCTAGGAAAGAATACTCTAATAACCCCTCCACACACACATACAAAATTGTTTTTCTCACTGGAGACCTACTTCAAACTTGTCCCAATGCAGGCCACTGGTTCCAAGAGCCAGCACACTAAAGGGCAGAATTATACAACAGTTCTCATTAGGCACTGAAAACATCCAAATTTTCTACAGACTTGTGGAATACTTCATACAATAAAAGACTGGTAAAAAAGCAATTCTGAAGCAGGAATTCCCTCCCTTCTAGGCAATTCTGAATGCAGGGCTTTTTAAAAAAAGGAAAAATATTTCCTGTCATTATATCACATGTTCTGAAGAAAAAGAACTGATGAGGATATAACAAAAAGAATGTGAAGGCCGGAGAAGTGTGCATTTCTAATCCCCAGAATAATGTCTGGACCAGGTTGACAACACACTTACAGATTTGATGCCACAACATACTGGTTTTTATGTGTCACAGGACTTTCAGAAAAATGATCACATATGCTGCATACTTCTGGGCAGTTAATTCTATTTGCATAGTGTCTCAAAGTATGGTGTTCCAGAGCACATACCTGTGGGAGACTCTGAAAGGCTGCTTCTGGATTTCCTTCCTCTGCGCGTGAGAAACTGTTCACTCACCCTCTTTGCTTCTTCTAACAATTCAAGATTCTTCTTTATGTCTTCATCAGACATTTTAACTTCTGGCAGCTCATCATTTACCAGGTCAATTACATGACCTGTATCATCTAAAACCCAAAGTACATTACATATTACAACTTATATAAGGTAATGTTCCATATAAGGAACCTTTATTTTTTTTCTGCCAAGCATAAAAAAAAATTTAACTGAATATATTGCTCCCCATTCTTGGAGGCACACCGTAACATGGTGAAGGGGTTTGAGTATGTCAGTGAAGCTGAGAGCAATGCTGTCAAGGAGACACAACTCCATTTTGAGCCTGGACTCCTTGCAGGGTCATCCAAAGCAAAATGGTCACAGCTTGTCCCTGGTCAAAGCCTTGGATGAAAAGATTTTTGATGGCTTTTCAGTGGGGAGCTAGCTTTGCTATGCACTGACTTTTCCTGGCCAGAGAATTTCTAATCCTTGATCCTACCTCAGCTGTAAATAATGCAGTTGAGTCCACTGCACTGATACATCTTATTACTTTGTTTAATAAAATATTATCTAAAAGTCTGAAGGAAACTGTGGACTGAATGGTCCTATATCTTTCCTATATCGAACATCCTAAATCAAACATCAGAACATCCTTAATGTAGGATATGAACTAAATATGTTATAGTATTCTAATACAATACTAAAAGATACCAGATTCATTATCAAAGTCTTGCAAAGACAGAAGTTCACCTTCACACATATCAATCCATTTCCCATCAATTCCTGAAATTCTGTCAACACATTTGTACAAATAGATTTAAAAGAAGAATCATATGAAATGTTTCTTACCTACAGATGTCAGCGAGGTAACTGATGTCCTAGCATGTCTGCTAGAATGGCGCCGATGCGGACTAACAGGCCTGAGAGGAGAAACGCCCAGAAGAAAGGAAGTACTAACCAAAGCAATTTTTTAAATACACAGAATTATTAAAACTAAGTTGATATCTATGATGGGATATTCAAAATTATTCTTCCTACTTGTTAATTAAATGACTGAACAACAACATGTTGCTGTGGTCCACAGATTTATATAGGCCTTGATGCTTGGATTATGCTTTGCATATAGGAGACTTCTGATTTCAATGCACTGGGAATTGGTACATTAACATGATGTTCCATAAGAAAGCAACACAGTCACCTAAAATTGACAATGCTAGTCTAACTGAACCTATATTTGAAGGACTGCATACTGTACTTTCTCCAAGCAAAGGTTGAATCATTTAACCCAAATTTCCAATATTTGTGTACTGTTACTTTAAATCAAGGAATTTTAGGAGTTTTTTTAAAACCACTATTATTTACATTTCATGCACCTAGCCCAGCAATATACTTTCAAGTGAAAAGTAAGTTGGCATGCTTTTGTAGTGAATGGGAATATTATAAGATTATTATTATTATTATAAGAATATTTCCTTTGCCTGTTGCAAGAAATCAGGGCAACAGTTCTGCATCCAATTATAGCAACATATTACCAAAAAAGAGAAAAAAACACAAATATACATGTGAAATTAGACTTGGCAATTTGCTTTTCTAGAGGACAGAACCTTAGATTTTCCCTTCTTTATATGTGGTTATTTTTGAATGCTACAAAAATACTGTAAGAAAACAACTTCAAAATGTAACATACAGTTTTCACTCAACTTTCTCAGAAGCTGAAAGTAACTTATAATAAATAATACGAACAATGCATTCAAATAAATATGAATAAATCATGTGTATAGTAATATTGTTCACATTCATATCAAAATACATCCTAATATCTATGTAGCAGTAATATTCTTCACATTCATATCCAAATACATCCTAATATCTATGGTTCATGAGACTGACTGCTCCAAACTTCAGGCCCAGCTTAGTGCATGGAAAATGTGTGTATCAATCTGAATTTTCCATAGAACTGAAGAAACCCCAAGAATTATCAAATCCACCCCCTAAATGGAAATAAAATGGGATGCTGACAATTGAAATAGAGGTACTGTAGAATGTTGTTGTGTACATTCTCTCTCTCCCCCTTTCTCACACATACACAAGATATTTAACCTTTTTCTTTCTTTCCTCAACATTTCTACCTACTTCCTTAACCATGGAGAAAAATTGGGTCCCATTTCCCCCTCTCCTGCTCTGTCTTGGGAGGGAGATTTGTGTTTTCCATGCAATGTCTGTTTAGTTTGTCATTAGCTATCATCACAACAAGTCAACTATTCCCTTCCCCTTGCTATCTTACTTATGCTTAGGAGGTCTCTCCACAAACACCTACCTGAAAGTACTACTTCCTTCAATCTTCAGTACAGAAAGACTCACCTTCTTTTAGAACATCATCACCCTCAACTGACTGAAGTCTGACTGGATGCAACTAAATTAATTTAAAAAGTTAAATATTTTTTTCTCTAGTAATTTTATATCCTTAAGGTTCACACTTGTCTTTTTCTTATGTGACTCTGTGAACCACAAAATACAGTGATGGCACAGCAAAAAATAATGTTTTCATGTTTTACCTCAAAGCTAGATTTTTCTCTGTTTCTGCATCTGGTGTAACAGTATATTCTGGAAGGACTATAGAAGGTGCATTGCATGTTGCTGCTTCAGCTGGAGACTCCTGAATATGCTGCAATAAAAACACAGTTTAGAAATGTAAATTGGGAAATAAAATGTACTAAAGAAGAGCTAGAATGAAACAGTAAACTACTGCCTTGTTTTTCACGTAAAAGCTCAGATCTAACTTTTTGCCAAGCTCTGCACTGTTCAAATTCTATATATACCTGTGGATGCTAACCAATTGCAACACGAATCTTTATCCAATTCTTGATGAATCAAGATTAGTCTTCAAGTTTATAAATGCCTGAGATGTTTGAAAACTGATTTTAAACTGATTGATGGCTTGCAAATAAGATTAGAAATGCTATTACCAATATGCAAACAACCCAATGAATCGAAGAATGAGTGTGAATCCACTTTAGTGTGGTATTTGTTTGATTCTTTTTAAATTATTGGTATACTTACTGTTTTTAAGTTTTAATTATTGTCTTTTGGATTCTTTTTAAGGAGAAAGGTGGGGTAACAATAATTTAAACAAACAAACAGTACTCTTCCACAGGTCTGCCACACCCAAAAGTTCTGGTAAGGTAGTTGTGATAACGTTTACATGGTATTTAATAATTTGCATAGGTCTTACTCTGTGATCCAGTAATTTCAGCCAATGTACTTCATTGGTTTGTTTCACAGAATGCTAAACAATTCTCCCTTTGGGACAGAATACCTCAAAGACAAAGAATGGCTGGCTGCTTCTTCCTTGTAATGCTAAAATTAGCAGAGAGAGAGTTTCTCATAAAATTACCTAGTGATTAAAACAGACCTTTTCTAGGTAAGAGTATGCAACGCTATGAGAAACTGGAAACTCATTAGAAGAGGCTATACAACCACACTGGACCTTTTAGATGCAGGCTGGTGTGGTCTAAATAGGGTTGCTTGGGGTCAGAGGGACCCAAAGCAACCCTTGGCATGATCCTCTCTTCGAAAGGGCATAATGACCTCAAGCAATCCTCCAGTTCCTTCCACTGTCAATTGAACACTTTCTCTTTCAATTGAACACTATAAATAGAAAGGAGGGAAAAAGAAGCAAGAGATATCTAACAATAACAAAACAAGGGATCAGCAGCACAAAGCTGCAAAGGAGCTCCTCCTCTTCTGTACAAGGAAATGAGAAAGAAGGTGAGTAAGGGAGCCCCCCCTTCCTTCTGCATTGAGAAGGAAAGAAGGAAACAAAAAAAGGAAGAGAGGTAAGACAAGCAGGAGAGAGAGGAGGAGCAAAAAACACACAGGAAAAAGGATTTGGGCAGATTCACACACACCCCTGTCTCCTCACTGCTATGTGCACGTTTGTGTGCATGTGTGTGTGTGTGTGTGCATGCATGCGCAAGGTAATGGTGTGTGTGTGTGTGTGCGTGTGCATGCATGCGCAAGGTAATGCACAAAGTGGGGAGAGGGCAAATGGCTCCAACAGCCATCAGAGGAAGGCACTAAGAAAAGTTCCTTGATATCTCACCAAACCATCCAGTTGGAAGTGAAATTATTTTTGCTTGTGCTAGAACTGTGATGATGCACTGAATCACTTAGAAAAATTTAAAAAAATCTTTGCCTTACGTGGAATACCAATTGAGAAACTGCCCACAGCCATGGTTTAGATTGGCACTTCACACAAAGGCAGAGGATTTTAAAAAAATCAAAACAGCAAAGTGCAACAGCGATGGTCTAGCAGTGTCATTAATTATTTCACTTCCCTTGCCCATTCTCAAAGGAACAGGGGAAGCGTTTAATTTGTTGATATGAAGTGGCTGATTTATTAAGAAAGTTCGCAGTACTAGAAATTCAAACTAGAAGGGCCTTAGCAGCTTTGACAACTGCAAGGCTCAATTTTAATTTATTCCCAGCAAGTGCATATGGACTAAAGTGTACCAACCCACACCAAAAAAATAGAAGCCTTAAAAATGTGTGGATTGGGGTGCTCTGGGGCTAAAATGTTCCATTTTAGCATTTACATCATGTGCCTGCCAGAAAAAAGAGTGTACCAATCCACCCCATGCACCTAAAAGTGGGACAAATGCTTGTCTGAACAATCCCTAAATTAGCAGTGTGCAAAATGTGCAGTGACCAGCAATTAAGGGAGATTAATCATCACCCTGACTCCCCACACAGTGCTAGTTTCTCATAATGAATAGTTTTTATTATTCAATACCTGGATGGCAAAGATTTGGGACATATAGCTATATGCAAAATAGAGTAAAATGAAGGTTGCTCTGATCTGTGCTGTGTGCCTGTCAACAGACTGCTTGCTAAGCTCAAGCACAAGTAAGTTGTTTATCTTGAACCAGGAAACTAGCCCTCAGCACATAACGTGTAATTGTGTCAGAATGCATGACAAATCACTGCAGAGTTCAGTATTTTCCTATGATGTTAAAGGAAAAGTAGCGGATGTTTTTATCCAGAGTGTAGAATACTTTGTCCTAGGTTTAGAAGACAATGATAAAGTAAAACTGAATGTGCCAGATATACATTGGTTTTAAAGTTTTCAACACATCTCAGAGAACAGAATGATCTGTTTTGGTTTAAAAGCCAGCTGATGAAATAAATGCTAAAGATGCTGATCTAAAGGCTTACAAATCTCTGGTTGCATTTATTCAACACTGCACTTTAATAAAAGGCCTTTCTTTCAAGCATTCTATGCATTGTCATCCAACATGTACATTATTTTGAGGTGTAATTAGAGAGTTAGGAATATTTGTATCAAATGATCAACAAGCCAGTACATTCATTTCTGTATGCATCATACATTGTATGGTATACTGTTGGTATAGTTTAAAAAAACACCCCACAATGGACTGGTTCTGCAATGAAAAGCCAGAAATGCTGGGTGTCTCACCCACCCTTTTTAAAAGGGCATCTACCCCAACTTTTGCCACGACTGCTGTCTGATTTTTATCTCAACTAAGAATTCCTCTGTACATTGTTTCAGGCAGTGCTGACTGTTCATAGAATACCCCAAGCATTGCCCATTATAATCTGGTTGAATGTGGAAAACACACAACAGCAAGGGCTAATCTGCTCTCAATGTTTCTTACAACAAAAGTTGCTTCAGGACTGGAACTGGCCAAAACCTAAAGAAAACAAATGGTAAAACATCTCCATCTATGTAATGGCCAGTTCAACTAGGTTCTTAACCATAGCCCTGATTATAATCTTTTTTTAAAAATGAAATAAGTATTCCTTCTCAGCACAAAGTAAATATGAACAGACTACAGCACATACAGTATTACACCATACTACACAAATTCCAATTTGTTATCAACATAGATTATACTTCAGAATTTTAAGATGAATATATTTAACAGTTCAGGCTGAGCAGGTCAGACCAGTAGCTCCCCTTTTTAGTGCCATTTAAAGAGTCTGTCTAAGGTCAGCCTTCTCCAGCGTAGTGCTCTTGTAATGTGTTGGATTAATTTAAGACTTCCACATTCAAAGGATAATGGGAGTTGTAGCCCATTGCATCTGGAGTGCAGCAGATTAGGGATGTTGTTATTAATGTTCTCCTCACCATTAGACACCATGGAGAAAACGAAGAATGTTGTAATGCCACAGAAAGGGCGACAAGTGGTGACATCCAAGCTCAGTTTTTAAACATACAGTACTAAATATATTAAAATATTTGTATCTCACATAAAACATACAGAATTTTATCAGAAATCTTTGATGGTAGTAGATTTATAAAGATTGCTCACTGTGACTGGAGAAGACAAAATGGAGTGCTGTGCCTCAGTTGGCTGTTGCACATCTTCAGGATGAGTTGGCATGATGGGAGGTGAAGGGCAGGTTGGATTGCCACAGAGACTAAAGAGACCATGCACTGATGAGAACGTCTGTTTCAAATTAACCTCTGAAGATAAGCCCTGTGGAGTCTTGTGATCCCAAGACTATAAGAGATGCCAAAAGTACAAATGAAATCCATTTAAAAACCAGGCTGTTAACACTGGGATCAGTTTATAATAACAAGCAGCAATAAAGTTTAAAGCAACAACTTATGTTTCTCCTTGTGTTTTATTAACTAGGACTTTCAAGGCCTAATGTAACATAGTAAGGCCATTAGGAGAAGCTTTTTTCAACATTCCTTGAATTACTGCACGGAAGGTCTTACTGACAAGCTTTAGAGCGCTCCCTTTTGTAATTCAGTTATATTAGGTCTTTAGAATGCTTATAAAGAGAAAAGGCATGGTTACGGTGAGATATGTTGCAACCATGCCATTTGTGGAAAACATTTTGAATAATAATATGTGTTTAATATGGATGTATTTTTGTGTATACAGAACATTTCATATACACATTCTGAGGATGAGCTTGCTTATAAATATATACTAGCCACATTTCTGCAAAATCCAGCAAACTCTGATGAACTTTGGAGAAGAAACCAGTGTTCGTACAGTACAGATTAGCTACCTTTTGTGTGACATAACTGACTGATAGGGAAGTGCTTTGGATTCAGACAAATCCTGAACCAAAGAGCAAATAGTGTTGATTTGGAAAGGTTCAGCAGATGCCCAGATTAAAGTACCATATTTTTCTGTGTATAAGACGAGACTTTTTTACTCAAATAATTGGACCAAAAATTGAAGGTTGTCTTATACAGGGTAGGCAGCCGCTTTCCCTGCCTTTTGCGAAGCTACAGAGTAAAGCAGCCGTGAAAGGGCAGCACACTTGCACCCCTTTGATCCTGAGGCAGCCATGAAGGAGCGTCAGGATCAAAGGGGCGCGGACACACTGCCCTTTTATGGCTGCATTAGCCATTTCCTAAACTCCGCAAGGTTTAGAAAGCGGGAAAGGAAACCGGGAAAGGGTGTGAGGATCAAAGAGGGCCGTGCGCCCGCTGCCCTCAGGTTTTCTAATTTAGGTGTTAGAAAAGAGGGGGTCGTCTTATACTGTGGGTCGTCTTGTAAATGGAAAAATACAGTGAATCTCTTCCAGTGAACTCAATCCAAAACTGAATGCTCGTAAAGACTTGTTGGCCATCAGAATCTTCAACATTTTCCCTGAGCTGTTCATATAAGGGAAGCAACAGAATGGTGACAAGAGTATAACTCTATGACTGGCAGCTTGAGTTTCTAGCCAGTGAATGATTTTATGAGGCCTTTCTAGTTGTGGTGCTTGTGGGGAGGGATTCTGAAATACTGACTGAAATCCTGTTGGAGGTTACAGAGGAATTGACTCACCAGATCTTTACAGATTAAAATGGTTTATTCTGGTTGTAACTTACAATGCTAAGCAACAGGATTTCAGCTACTACATCATAGTCTATGTGAGTCTGTACAAAAAAGAAACTTTTTTCAACTCTGCTTAGAATAAAATGCATAAAATGACCACTTGCCTTAAAAGGTTCAAATTACATTAAGAGAGGAGATTTTAAGCACCAACTTTTTCAATTAAAGTTTAAGAAACTACCAGTCACTGTTTTGTGAGCTGGGAGGAAAAGAGAGGAACATAACACAGCATAAAGCCCTTTTTTCTTAAGTTTCTGGCTCCACTTCGCAGAGAAATGTATCTAATATTGTCTAATCTTTCCAGTGGCTGCCAGCATAATGTCTAAGCTACTGTTATAACTATAATTACGGAGAATAAGTTTTACTTACTTTTTTTTTAAAAAAAAATTCAGGTAGATACTTTTTAGCTCCTACAAATCCCTGAATGCTACATTTTGTTGACCTGTGGTTTAACACACTTTCTTCCTTTCTCGGTGGTCATCCCTGTAAGACCCATAATGGACTATGACAGAAAAAGGCATAGTATGTGCCAGTATTTAAACCATGTTGTTTCTATTACTGACTGTGCCCATGCTCAGCTACAAAAATTACTAAATGTTATCATCACACCACCAAAAATAATAAAGTTACAACTAGCCAAATGACAACTGCAATATTATGTCTTAGTTACAGCAGGGAAGAAATTACTGGCTGTTTGTAACTACTGTAGTCACTTCCAAGCCTTGGGTTTAATCTTTATTATCATTATTTTTAAGTGACGTTTTCTACTTCCTGTCTTCATACTAGAAAGCTAGTTTCATTTTTAGGAAACATGTAATGTTTTGTGGTTTCTACGGTCAATTTAAGAACTTCCTGACATGGAGCCTGGGATTTTATTTCTGTGTCACTGAGCCTGGGATCTTATTTCCCCCCCCCCCCACTGAAATCAATGTACAAATCATGTCTATAAATGTACCTAAGTGCTTTCTACTTATATGTCAGTGCCATCAGCATTACATGCTGAAGGTAATTTTTATAAAAATTGTGACAGTTCCAATTTTGAATTATTTGCATGCCCCATGGATCACTCCCTCCCCCTCCCCCACTTTCTTGTTCACATAGCAGCTTTCTGTTGCCTTTTGGGGGGAATATTGTGTTTTCTTTGTCTTTCTGGGACAAAGGTGTTTTCAAAAGTCTCTTCAGAAAAAATAAGATTTCTTTCCCAGGGTATTTTCTTTAACTTTACTCTTGAGAAATATTTAGCATTCACAGTGACATACTTTCATTAAAACCCTGCCTTTCAAGTGTAAAAATAAATATTTTATACACACACACACAATTATATAGAATCATCTAATTAATTAATTGTTATAAATTTTTTAGAACTTGTTATCATCTGTTGTAAGCCGCCTAGAGCCATCAAGTCAGTTCTGACTTCCAATGACCCTTTCCAGGGTTTTCCAGGTAGACAACGGTCAGAAGTGGTTCACCTTTCCCTTCTTCTGGGGATTTCCTTTGGACTGGGCAGCTTGCCCAAGGCCACATAGGGTGGTTATTCTGGGACACACAATGGGGAATTGAACTCTCAACGTCTGGCTCTGTAGCTAGATACCTAATTCACTGAGCTTTTCAGCCAGTGGTAAATATGGTTTATAATCAAAGCATGTGTTACTTAGGTCAAACTTCTATGGAGGAAACAAAGAGCAGAAAGATAAGAAAGATGAGAAAGATTAGACAGACAGACATACAGACAGACAGACGCACGCACGCACGCACGCACGCACACACACACATACATACAGTGGTGCCTCGCTTAACGAGTGCACCGTACAACAAAGAATCCGTATAGCGATCCCTTTTTGGGGATCGCTATACGGAGCTGCCCCAATCGCCGCACTCGCTTTGTGACGATTGGGGCGTCCGGCGGCCATTTGGAGTGCTTGCCAATCTGTACTGTGCACAATTTTTTGCAGCAAAAACCAATTGTGCACAGTACAGGTTGGCTAGCACTACAAATATTAAATTACAACTATGCACATTACTTCTTGGAACACTTTTTTAATTAAAAATTGTCCCCAAACTGAAAGTTAATTTTATAAATGTAGATATGTGTATATCTGCAGCTAGTCAGAAAGCATACCTAAAGTGTTCAAAAGCACAGGTAAGTATATACAGTACTAGTAATATACAGTATAATGCTACTAGTATATTCTACAAATATAGATACTGCAGCAATATCTTAGCAATTCATCCAGTGGTAAAACATATAATATGATACAGAAATATCTGGAAGAATAAAAGCATTTTCATCTGGCACCAAAGGGAAAACAGAGTGCACACCAGGTGAAAATTTATAGCTTGAGCATCACATAACCAGAGGCAGAAGGAGGGGGAGGTCATATTTCAGACTGGCGAACCACTCAGAAGGACCTTTTCAGACCACTGTGAAGCACAAGCAAGTATATATTGGAGATGGTGTTGCAGCAGGTCCCAAATTCCTCAGCTATATAGGGCTTATGAACAAAATGGACTCTGTAACTTGCTCAAAATGAATTGGAAGCTAGTGAAGTTGAGAAAGGATTGTTCTAATATGTTTATAAGCTTTATTTCCAGTTTGACATCTCACTGAAATTTCTTGAATGTCTTCAAAAGCCAGCCCACATGTAAGTTTCAGAGCATGAACAACTGATTCCAGGTTATTCCACCTCCAGACAATACCTTACCCATACATGTGGAATGAAGACCCCTCTACTAACAGAATCTGTCAGTTGAACTTCAGGTTTTTAGCCCCCATATACTACTAAGACCAAACCCTGGCCAAGAAACTCCTACAGCCCTTCTACTCAGGATGAAGAAAATAAGAGAAATAAAAATGGACATCATCAATATATTGATGTCAATGCACTCTAAATTGCTTTACAGCCTCACTCATTAATTTCATAAGAGATAAAACTAAACTCTATGGGGCTCCTACAATGGATGACACAGCATCACACAGAAAATTTCTAATACCACTTTTGTGAGAAGAAGAGCATCCCGTACAGGAAGAATCCCTAATTGCCAACACTGGACTAACTCTCCAGGACTCTGGCTGATGAGTTCCAAAACTGTTGACAGCTCAAGGAAAATCAACAGGATTGTATTCCTCTGTTTTGGAATGTTTGTCCCCAGCCATGAGAATCAATGTTCACTGAAACTGATGTGGAAAATCAGCACTGGCAGATCCAGAACACTATATGCAGATGTCTGGTTTATCAAAGATATAACTGAATCCTTTCTAAAAGGATCTCCAGGGCGGTCCATCCCTAAATGCATAAGGAATCACATTAGTACATGTTACCTTTAACAACAGACCAATGTTAACATTTCTGTGTTCTAATGCAGGCACTCCAGAATGAGGAGGAAGAGTTAGGATAATGCAGATGCACATGACAAATGTAACTTATTACACATATATAATTCTGGCTGTCCTGTGGTATTCTTGGGAGAAACAGAAATCAATCCAGTTATAAAAGTGTTCCATTGTGCAGCCGTAACCGATACTGGCAAGTGAACCAAAAAGGAAACCCCTTGGAGTTAATGGGGCATAAAAATCTAAGGAATGCAACTTTCCTCATTTAAAAGAACAGCATTTTATAATCTGTAAAACTTCGGTCCAGATTATATATGTCATAAATTAAGAAAATAAAACCAAAGCTTGCTACTACATTTTGTCCTTCTCATTTTATAATTAAATATAATACAAAAAGGATTTCATTTAGTTCTTGCATGATCCAGAACCTCATTGTTTAAAACAGAGAGTCAGAGGATTAATCCTGACCCTCAAAGCTCTGATCTCATTGCTGGATTCAAAAATCTTTTCTGTATGACTGAGAAGTTTAGAGATTACCATACCCAGGAAGTGATGTTTAAGGAATTTTATTCCATAAAAGGAAAAACTATTTAGAAATGCTTGGCTTGCAGAACTGTTCCCTTCTTACAGCGCATTTGACCACAACAGAGAAGTTGTATACAAATAATCAGTAAACTTACCTTCTGAATCACAGCTGAATGTCTTGGCAAATAAAGGTACTTTATTCCATCTTCACTGTTAGCCTGGCTGTTGACCTCAAATGCTCTGCATAAAAAGGGAAACACATGAGTACAAACAACTCAAAAATAGTTTTCTAAAGTATCTTGGCACTTGCATTCTCTCTTTGGGTATAGCATGCAACATTCTACTCTTCTTAGGGCATCACTATTCCCCTTAGGAGACATATAAATGTAAAACATAACATTTTAAATTGTTTACTCAAGAACCAATTACATACATGTTACAACCCTGTTCTCAAATTGAGAGGCGGAAGAAACCCTGAACCTCTTAACTTTCACATTGGTGCTATCTGCTGCCATTTTAAGGGAGGTTCTAGACATTAGAGAAAGGAAACCAGAAAGGGGGGGGGTTATGGATTTAATTTAGGGGCCTCTTAGTCCTTCTCATAGTTCAAATATTATACTGAATTTAACTCTCTTGTTATATTGTTCTAGGTTTATTTCTTTTTTTACAAGAGTAAATAAATGCCCAGAGATGCACAGATGGTATGCTACAGAGGGAGAGGACCCTGTGGGACAGCATAGGAGGAATCTGTAAAAACTACTTCAGTCTCCTTCTCTGAGTTGAAGGCTCCACTAGATCCCAGTTCCTTCTTTTGTGAATAGAAAGTGTTTCTTTCCACAAATGCAAAGGCTTCTCTCAATCTAAGCCATTATATAAAAAACACTTCAGTATCAAGAAGGCACGAACTAAAATGTGTCTTTTTAAATTTACTGTGTAACAAGACCATGGCCTGAAATCAAATGGCCTGCACACTCTCTTCATAACCTTGGAAATGAATGAAAATAATAATAATTGAGGCCTATGTAACACTATCTAAATTGTCCCAATCAGGTTTTATCTGTGCATTTTTATAGTATCAGCATTTTGCTGATATTTTGTATAAAGAAAAGAAAGTAAACATGTAATTTGATGTGCTTTGGCCCTGTCTCTCAGTTTACCTGGATTGAAGCTGTAGCTGACAAAACCGTAAGAGAGAAAAAAAGGAGGTGAGATGAGAGCAGGAAAGAGAAGGAGTAGAAAGCACCACAAATCTTCACATATTTCCTTTTTATAAAGAAGCCAGATGTTTGTTCATTGGTCACTATGAAGCTCTATATATAATCAACCTACTAGCTAAAACTGCAGTACTATAGTGTGCCATAACTCTCCAATAAGACTAATGACTTTCCCTATAAAACACGTAACACCAAATGAGAAACAAGTAGCTCAGCAACGGACAGCCAAGATATATAGACTGTCTTATATAGGCCAAAAATCCTGTTGCATACATTATATCAGGTAAAAGAGAGATGATGTCACCAGAGGAGAAGATTGCTGGAAACTTCAGTGGAGGGTTACCATTGCCACTTACTGCACATTACTAACAAAAAGTAGTTTGAGTGTCACCACTATAACCTCCTCCACCACTGTCACTTTCAGTAGCTACCCCAAAGAGGATGGATGCATTTCAGGGCTTGGTCACACTGCTAAATTATATTGAGTCCCATTCCAACATTTTCTATATTAGTCTATAGTCACATGGTATATACATCAGTATGCATGTTCACTTTGACTTAAATTACTTTGATGTATTTCTGGTAATTAAAACCAGTTTGGGAAGCTACACTGGAATGGACTCAATTTCCATTCATTTTGAGGTACACACTGTGGTTAAATTTTCAGCAGTATTTTTTTTTAAGTAACTGATACATCACTAAATCAATGGCTTCATTAATTTGAAAATATGGAACAAGTTCAAAATTGGGAAAGGAGTACAACAAGGCTGTATATTGTCTCCGTGCTTATTTAACTTAGATGCAGAATACATCATGCGAAAGGCTGGACTGGAGGAATCCCAAACTGGAATTAAGATTGCCGGAAGAAATATCAACAACCTCAGATATGCAGATGATATCACTCTGATGGCAGAAAGTAAGGACGACTTGTTGTTGTTTAGTCGCTAAGTCGTGTACTCTTCTTGAGTTGAAGGGTTGAAGAATTGATGCTTTTGAATTGTGGTGCTGGAGGAGGCTCTTGAGAGTCCCCTGGACTGCAAGGAGAACAAACCTATCAATTCTAAAGGAAATCAACCCTGAGTGTTCACTGGAAGGACAGATCCTGAAGCTGAGGCTCCAGTACTCTGGCCATCTCATGAGAAGAGAAGACTCCTTGGAAAAGACCTTGATGTTAGGAAAGTGTGAAGGCAAGTGCAGAAGGGGACGGCAGAGGATGAGATGGTTGGACAGTGTCATCGAAGCTACCAGAATGAATTTGACACAGCTCTGGGAGGCAGTGGATGACAGGAGGGCCTGGCGTGCTCTGGTCCATGGGGTCATGAAGAGTCGGACACGACTTACCGACCAAATAACAACAAGTTGCAGCCAGAGTCATAAAAATCAAGTTACAACTATTCAGTGTATTTTATCACTTGAAGTAGCACGTTGCAGAGGATGAGATGGTTGGACAGTGTCATCGAAGCTACCAGAATGAATTTGACACAACTCCGGGAGGCAGTGGAAGATAGGAGGGCCTGGCATGCTCTGGTCCATGGGGTCATGAAGAGTCGGACATGACTTATCAACCAAATAACAAGTTGCAGCCTGAGTCAGAAAAATCATGTTACAACTATTAAGTGTATTTTATCACTTAAAGTAGCACTTCTAAAAATGTGCTAAATGTATTGTCTGTTTGACCATTAGCACATAGAAATATCTTCCTACTGTATAAGAACTAGTTAGCTCAGTGGTTTAGGTATGGTTGGAAGTTTGACTCCCCACTGCGCCTTCTTGACAGGCGCTGGACTTGATGATCCATAGAGTTGGACACGACTTAACGACTAAACAACAAGCACTCACAACCACCAAACCGAAATGAATTGAATTGGTTTAGGAGCCAAGGCATTTTCAAAAGCCTCTGCTGGCCAGCTGAAAAAAAGAAAACTTGGTCTGTAGTCCAAATTGAGTTCACTTGTGTGTCATGTACCCAGGAATTTACAAATCGATTTAAATAATGCAAAATTGATTCAACTACATTTCTTATTGCCTTTATGACCAAGCCTTGAGTCTGTGCTGGAGCTCACGCATCCTCATGGAGGTCCTATCATTCTCCACCATTGTCGAGGCTGACTAGGTGTGGCAGTAGCTGCAGTTAATAAGCTCTGGGGTGCTACAAGGTTCCCATCCTTCATAATAATATATCATTTAGCCTGATAATATATCATTTAGCCTGATTAGCTGGAGTAGATGGTTGCTGCAGCAGAAGAAAATGTACTTCAATAAAATTAGTAATTTCCATTCAACTTTTAAAATGTACTAGAATAAGAGTGTGTAAAAAGGAAATCAGTAACAATAATAATACTGTAAAAGAGATACTAATTGTTGAGCTATTACTAAGTCATACAAGTATTCTTTCTTCCATAATGATCAATTCATTTAAAGTGCATGTGTTGGAATGACAGTGTATTAGGAAGCAGTGTAACTCTTAAAAAGGAAAATGTTATGAAATCCTATAGAAATCAAAGCCTGTCCACATTAGGCATGAAATAGTTAAGACTCCATGATTATGCATTTCACAAATGACTCAGATATTTGGATTAAAGCTTTTCTTGCCTTATTGCCTTTCATTTCTGAACTATGAAAGATAAGGGAGAGATTAAACTGATGATAATATCAACCATTCCCCTTGCACATTGGTTTTGCTAACCAATTGCCAAATGATTTTTTTATCCTTTTAAGTACATATGATTGTTTGCTAGGCCAGATTATAATTACATAATTATTGCAAAGCTTGATACCTACTTTTCTTGTAATGTTGGGTAAAGGGATGAAGAAAGGGCAAGGAAATCAACACAAGTAATCTCTGAAGGCAATATGAGACACATTCAAACTTAGAAAGTGGTCATGCAATACATGAGATCAATAGCATACCAGACTACTATAACATAAGAAGCTTTTCATGTCCCTAAAAATAAAGGTTTCTTTTTGGTTCTACTGTTCCTAGATGCCACCACAGCAGTGCAACAGAATGACCAGGACTGCTTTGTTCTCTATATTTCTTTTAATCTTACCACCAGCTTTCATGGAGTCAACTGTGATGAGTCAAGTTACCAGTTGTGCACAAGGCAAATAAATTAGGAAGAACCACCAAACTAATGAGATATTTGCACAGCATAAACATTTACTTCTTCTATTGGTCTTCTAGCTTTTGCATAAATCCCAGAGAAGAAAGCAGCATGAAGGTGATGACAGTAAAACTGTAAGTTACCATGCTATGTGCATTATTTTATTTAAAAAATCCCTATTCATCAGTTTTGAGGCAAGAATTAAGCATACCATGTTCATCAATGCTCTGCTTAATATTAACAAAAATGTCCATCATCACAAGGGCTGGAGACCACTTTTTCCCCATCCCTCCCCACTCAACCCCATACCCCTTCACCTATCTCCACTCATCCCATTACAGTACTTTCTCTCATCCTCACCACTCTTTTTTCTTCTTGCTTGTCTCTGCTCAGCCTAGTGCTTGTTCACCACTTTCCTCTATTTCATCCTGTGCTGTTTTCTTCTCTCCCACCTGCCCCTCCTCTACCTCATCTGTTTGTAGTCTGAGGTGATAGAAATGTTCCACCTTGAGCACATAGAGATCTTTGGGAGAAATTGCTATTCTAGGCCTACCCCCCGAGCCTTGTCTCTAAGAAAGACTAGGGATGTCTGCTAGCCAGTTATGGAAGATGGTGCCGCAGCTCACAGACAGGTTTTAATTAAATAAATTAATCTGAAATGCATTAATCTCTTTCTTTTCAGTATCAGGCTACAATTCACCACTTTGTACAAACGAAAACTCTGTCTTGTTCGGATGTGCTGCCAACAGGATTGATACAAAGATTCAGATCTCAGTATTATCAGTGTCTGCGCTCGGCTACTAGACTCAAATCACGTATTTTCTACGGCAGTGCCCAAACAGTATATGTAGTTTTAAAAAGGAAACAGATTATGATTTGCAATCTCAAAATGTTATATAGATATCTAAAGTATATCTGACTA